TAGTAGTAGTAGTAGTAGTAGTAGTAGTAGTAGTAGTAGTAGTCGTAGTAGTAGTAGTAGTAGTAGTAGTAGTAGTAGTAGTAGTAGTACAAGGAGGAGGAGGAATAGAGATCGAGGAGGGTCGACGATCGAAGGGGCGGGGGCGGAAGGAGGGAGGAGGGGAAGATGAGTTGGATGAGGATGAGGAAGATGATGAAGATGATGAATATGATTATGATGATGATTATGAATGATGATGATGATGATGATGATGATGATGATGATGATGATTATGATGATGATGAGGAGGAGGGGGAGGAGGGGGGGAGGAGGAGGAGGAGGAGGAAGAGGAATAGGAGGAGGAGGACGAGAAGGATGAGGAGGAGGAAAAGAGCGAGGCACACTTCGAGGAGAAAGAGACGCTGCAAGACTAAACGTAGGAGGACGGCCGCGAGTGCCAGGTCCGTTACGAAAACGAAGAGAAACATAAGAAAGAGGTAGAGGCTGATAATCGTATCAGCACTCTGGTCGACTTCCTACGATCAAATAGGATCTCGGCATCCACGGCCCCCAAGGGGTCGGCGGTGTGGCGTAAGCCAGAAAATCAACGAGGCGGGGGAGGTAGTTCTAAGAGAGTGGCGATGTCCGACCGAAATGGGCTCCTCGTGCGCGCGGCCTCGGTTCGGGTAGGCAGGCGGATGCCGCAACCATCACGTGCTGGGATGGAGGCGTGAGTGCCCGTCTGACGGCGCGAAGGTGGGCTGCCGAGCTGGGGCCAGCTTGTCACCGCCGCCCTCGGCGCCTTCGTGCGGTGGATCGGAACAGCGGTTCGACTGCCGCGGAGGCGCATCGGCTGCAGAAACACCGCAGCAGCGGCGCGGCACTGCGGAGGTGGTGCTCGCGTGGGCAACCGAGTGGTCAGATTTTCAGGCATTGCGAGAGTTCCGGTCATGTTTTGGCAGACGCCCAAGCCAGTAGCTATCGCGTGAGGCAGCGACGAGGCGGACGCTGCCAAACCCAGAACGAGTACCACAAACAATCATGGTGCGAAGCAAGCTGAACTACGACGGCATCTACACGAAACCCGGCCTACTTGTGCCTGACGCGCTCGCACAACACAACGAGGTGGGTGCAAAGCCAAGCGCCGCGGTATTTGCCAGGGGCTCTGGCCCCCGGCCGTGCCTGCGCCGCCTCCTTGACGACCCTTGGCAACGGTATGTCGCTGTGGACCCTGGCAGGCCTCTTGGAGGAATCGCTGGTCCCAGCTTGACGGCACTCGACAGAAGCGCCGCGGGAGTGGGGGCGGTCAAGCGAGTGAGCGACCGACGACGCCACGAAGGTCGACCAGTGTCAAACCTGCGACAAAGGAAGCACGCAGGCTCGCCGTCTTCGTTTCGGTGCGGCTTCGGCGGCAAGTCATGGGAGCCTCCCACACCATCCTGTCAGCCCTCGCGAATCGACGCCAGTCGACGCTGACTCGACGCCACCTCGACGCGAAGCGGCGCTGGAGCGGCGCCGCCCCACCGACTCCCCGACGCTCCCCGACGCCAGTCGACGCCGACGGCAGGGCTGCGAGGGCACACCGAGGCCCGCACGATCTGTCGCCGCGTGCGGCTGCCCCCTCGCGCGCTGGGCGACGAGGGCCACGCCACGGCGCCGGGGCCCTCGCTGCCGCCCGAGAGGCCGCCTCGCCTCGGCCTCGCCGCCCCGCGGGCCGTGCGGCAGGCGCCTTGGGCGGGAGCTGCGCGGGGGGGCCTCGGCCCGTGGCGGCCTGCCCTGCGCCTCGTGGCCGGCGCTCGTGGCCCTCGGGGTCCTCCACAGCCGGCTCGTGCCATCAGGGTGCGCGGAGGAGGAGGGGGAGAAGGAGGAGGAGGAGGAGGGGGAGGAGGAGGAGGAGGAGGAGGAGGAGGAGGAGGAGGAGGAGGAGGAGGAGGAGGAGGAGGAGGAGGAGGAGGAGGGAGGAGGAGGAAAGGAGGAGGAGGAGGAGGAGGAGGAGGAGGAGGAGGAGGAGGGGGGCAGGGGCCTTGGGGCGGCCACGTCCACGTTTCTCGAGCGGGGTTGGCCAAGGAGAGTGGCCGAGGGTGGGGCGAGCAGGCCAGGGTGCAGGGGTGCTCTCGGGAAGGCTGCCCATGCGTATACCATGCGGGTTGACGGGATTCGTTTGCTCCTCGTGCTGGCGCACCCCTTCGGGTGCAGTGCTTGGTGCGGCGATCGCTGCTGTGGCAGGGGGCCAGCAAAGGGAACCGCGGTCAGGAACTTGTGCCTCTACCGCGCCGCGGCGGCGGCACCCCGGCGACACGCGAGACGCACTGCAAGCGGATGGCGTGTCGCTCCGCCCCGCGGAGCGACAAAGGCTCCCAAAGACTCGGGACGCTGACGCCTGAGGACCGTGACGTGGTCACCGTGCCTCGCCGAGGTGCGGTGGGCCAAAACCGGCGGCGCCACAACTCGGGTCTCCAGCGGCCGTTCGGGGCGATCCGGGCCTGTCCAGGACGCCCTCGACGAGGCGCAGCCCCTGGAGCGCACCCTGAGGGCGGACGACCGCCAAGAGACTACGAAGACGCCCGAAGACCTCGAACCTCGAAAAGCTCGAGCCTCGAAGTTCCCCCCCCTCGCTCGCCCGCGTCGCACATTTCCCCCCCTCGCTCGCCGCCGCACAGAACGAGCCACCACCCGCAGCAAGAGCTCCCAACTTCGCGCTTCGCGCTGCGCGAATAACTTCGCGCTCTCGCGCCACCTCCCAGGGGAGAAGAGGAGGATGAAAAGGAAT